GTGTCTCGTCAGAGAACGCAAGGGCATTTATTAAGAAAACAATTGATCAAACTGGATATTGAAATAGCGATTTCAGTATCGGTTACCCAGCCTATGAACATTGTTAAAACTTATTGCGTAATTGATACACACTGCAAACGTTGTAGCAGACAGTAATATATAAAATGAATAATATTTATTTAGCGTATTTGTTTCGTGCTACCTGCTATCAAAATCACAATAATAAATCAGCACATTAATATCGGTACACGCAGGACAGCAAGCAATGCTAAAAAAGCAATTAGATAAAATATATAACTCAGTACTCACTGCAGTGAGTGACAGAGAGCGCATTTTCTCGTCGACGAAAACGTGAAGTCACGGACGGACAGACGGACGGACCGACATGGCGAGCACAATAGTGCATTTTTTCCATAAACGAGAAAATGCGCTAAAAATACCCGAAAGACGCTTTTCCGCTGCCCGACCTGGCGTGAGAAGCGATGATCTGGTCGATGATGGCGAGCTGTCCATCAGAGAAGCGTGCTGCTCTGCCGTCTGTTGCTGCGCTGCCGTCTGTTGCTGCGCTGCCGTCTGTTGCTGCGCTGCTGTCTGTTGCTGCGCTGCCGTCTGTTGCTGCGCTGCCGTCTGTTGCTGCGTTGCCGTCTGTTGCTGCGTTGCCGTCTGTTTGCTCGTCTGTGAAGCGATACACTCGCGCAGAGTGAAGCTGCTCACGAAGCTCAGCTACTTCTGCACCCAATAGAGAAAAAATAATCACTCCATGAATCTTTTGCCGAACATGAAACATAGAAACACACTCAACATACATAAATCGTCAAATAAAATTCTGAACCAATTTAAGAGAGTTATAAACATGAAAAATCTGGACTGAAAAAAGATGCTTCATTGAAAACATAGGCTTTTATATCTATTCATTACAGTGGACGTCTAGGCTTGGTTCACTCAATACTGCTTGGCCCGTGCCGATCATATACCAGTCACGGTCCGTTCCCGGCCAGGTACATCACATGTTCGGTCCGGTCACGGGCCTTCCTCGCTTCATTTCCTATCGTATCACGGGCTATGCCAGTCACACAGCGTTACCGACTGGTATAATCCATACCAGATTCCACAAATCTGGCGTGTTGAGATGGTGCTTGTCATGGATATTTTCGACTTGGTATATTTGCTAAAGTCTGGCATGCTGAGCTGGCAATCTGGTATACTCGTCAAAAAATTAAGTTTGCAACGCTGCAGTCACGTCCCGGTGAAAATATCTTTAACCTTGATCGTGGCTGAACCATGCCTGGCATGACTGGCGCCTTGCACTGCTGGTGTGAATGCTTCTATTATAACGCATTAAAGAATATTGGACTGGACCGAGACTGGCACATGCCGGGCAGTATGGTGCGAACAAAGCCTTATTCTACAAATAAAAACTATGTCTTTATTTACACCGTTTTGAACTTAGCATCAAAACGCCACTGTAAGCAATTAATGTATGACATGGCTTCAAAAAAGCAAGCCAGTAAATATACATGACAGTGATCGNTAGACCACTCTACTCACCCACTATAGACCACTCTACTCACCCACTATAGACCACTCTACTCACCCACTATAGACCACTCTACTCACCCACTCTAGACCACGCTACTCACCCACTATAGACCACTACACTCACCCACTATAGACCACTCTACTCACCCACTCTAGACCACTCCACTCACCCACTATAGACCACTCTACTCACCCACTCTAGACCACTCCACTCACCCACTATAGACCACTCTACTCACCCACTCTAGACCACTGCACTCACCCACTATAGACCACTCTACTCATCCACTCTAGACCACTCTACTCACCCACTATAGACCACTCCACCCACCCACTATAGACCACTCTACTCACCCACTCTAGACCACTCTACTCACCCACTCTAGACCACTCCACTCACCCACTATAATAGACCACTCCACTCAACCACTCTAGACCACTCCACTCACCCACTATAGACCACTCCACTCAACCACTCTAGACCACTCCACTCACTCACTATAGACCACTCTACTCACTCACAATAGACCACTCTACTCACTCACTACTCACCCACTCTGACAACATGCAGGGTACTTTAATGAACTTGTTTGTGAAGTAATGTAATTATAAACTAGAACTTGATTGTAAAGTTTTGCATTTAAAAATTAAATAGGGAGAGAACTGTGAACTGTGGTCCGCTGCAAGTAGTGGAGAATTAATTATAATAAGAACAATACTCTAATTGAGCCGGAGATCTAATTATACGAGATGACGTCGATTAATGATATTTAAAAATGTCGGAACTGGAATTCATATGAAAGACAAGGCGGAAAGTTTAAGCTAAGAGAAGCTCATATAGGAGTTTAAATTACTTTACCAAAGAGGCGCTATGGAACAAGAAATTGAACACATTCAATTTATTAATGTGTAGTTGCGGAAAATTTTTAGATGGCAATAATCAATTAACTTCTAACTTGTTGAGTGAAAAGCGTGTGCGCAGAGCTTCATATTTCAAAGATAATTGATAAATCTAACTTCAGAAGCTCATATAATTGTAAAAATAATTATAAGTAGGTAATTTGTAACGATTGGCACACATTTTGCAACGATTGGCACATATAAAAAGGCCCAATAACATGTAAAACACCGTCCAAATTACCGTGTGTTGCGTCCAGTCCGAAGCGAGGGTAACTTGGTCACGTTCATTGGTAGAGTTGAGCTTCGTACGTCTGTACGTCGTGGCGGCCATGACGAGGTCGGCAGCGACGCGCATGGAGCGTCTGCAGCGCCAGTTGCGGTCCCCGAAGTTGTCGTGCAGGACAGTTTCTCCTCGAGTAAATGCTACGCTGAATAATGTGCAGTAGAGAATATTACAAACTAATAACTAATAACGCACGGTCATCATGATAAAAATAGAGACTATCACAAACTAATACCTACTAAAGCAAGCTCATCATTATAAAAATCTACCATACATATAGATAAATGCCTTACAAATCTACTGAAAATAACAAATACAGTAATAATTGTCAATTAAAAATATTTAAATACAGCAAACATTTGAAATCAGCAGGGTTCGTGATTTTTTGGATTTAAAAAAAAAATCAAAAAAATAAAAAATCAATGATTTCTTTTATTTTTTCATGATTTATTTGATTTTTTTTTATTTTTCAGCTTTTTTGTCTTTTTGAAGAGTTATTTTTTATGTTGCAATTAGCCTACTACCAATAACAGTATATGGATCATAATGGATGGCTAAAAAGGGCACTTATTGCCTTCAATAATGGGCAACAGGCCAAGGCGGTGTTTACCACTTTGCGATTGGGTAAACAATTATTGATAAGTCTATTCATTAGCTTTGTAAAGTTTGTATGGAGCAAGGTAATGAGCTAAATATTGACCATTTAACTGGCTTCAATATACAAAAACACTTCAGGAATGCAGATCTTCTAAACATTGAAGAGTCACATAACAGATAGGTAGCTGATAGCACAGTGCACAGCACTATCAATAGGTCTACGGTACTAGTTTTATGTCCTATAAATCTACCAGACTCTACCCTCTATACACACCGACTAGTAGTGACTGAGTGACTGACTGCACTGTTCCCATTTAATTCAGACCAATAAACCAATACTTAACATAAACTGAACGATAACCAAACAAACCTCATACGACTTGAAACGAGACTTAAGTTATGAGAAAATCTATACTGTTTGAAATAAACATGTGCACAATTCAAATATTTTATATCCATTCAATGCATTCAATCATTTTATATATAGTCTTATAATTGTAATTGTTTTGTTTCTAGTTTTAAATTCACATATTTAACGATTGAAATTAAATATTTTAATTAGAATACTCGTATTAGGGTGGAAAATCTTTCTAATTGCCTAAAAGGTCAATACAATTTCAACCTCTCAATATACATGGTGGGGCAGAACCAATTGAGCAGTTTTGAGGTAAAATAAAGGAGTAATGGAGGTACATATAGGGGCTAGTAGAAAGTTTATTTTCCTAGAGGTTAGCATAACATACCATTTAGAATACTTATGTTTTGAAAACAATATCTGGAAGATGGGGGCTGTTAGCTGCAACACACTGTTGGAGTCATTCTCAGAGGAGGAAGTAACCGTAACAGTGAATTCCAATCGCTATGCTGCAATGTTGCAAATTTTCTTGCAGCCCATGATGGAAAACATTGTTGAAAATAAAGCATTGCGAGACGTGTGGTTCCAGCAGGATGGGGCTACAGCTCACACAGCCCGAATGTCACTCAATGTTTTGAGACGCATGTTCCCAGACTCTGAGGGGTGATTTACAGTGGCCTGCGAGGTCAACTGATTTGAGCATTTGCGATTTCTCTCTTTGGGGACATCTAAAAGAAAGGGGTTCAGAAGTCGCCCTCACACCCTACCACAGCTAATGGGACGGATTATTGCAGCAGAGGTTATGGCCATACCTCGCCATATGTGTGAACGTGCTGTAGGAAACTTCCAAGAACGACTCCAACAGTGTGATGCAGCTAACAAACCCCATCTTCCTGATATTGTTTTCAAAACATAAATATTTTAAATGGTATGTTATGCTAATCTTGAGGAAACAAACTTTCTTCTTTATGTACCTCCATTACTCTTTTATTTTGCCTAAAAACTGTTCAATTAGTTCTGCCCCACCCTGTATAAGCTAGATAACACATTTAAATTGTATATTGTAATAAATATATAACAAATAGCCAAATAGTTAAAGACTACTTATAGCCTTATAAGAATTAGCTAAGCTGCTAGCTATGTACAATGTATTGCAACACTTGATGCCTCTGTACCAAAAACATTCAATTTATTGGAACCTAATACACACTAAAGGCAACAAGTTTATATACCAATTTGTCATTCATAGTACATTTATACTAAACCATGAACAACAATACCTCAGTATAAATTAAAGACTGCCACTCAATATATTTAAATATATGAATAAATAAATAAAAAATAAAAAAAATCGAAAAAATAAAAAAAAAATCATGATTTTTTTATAAAAAAATCAAGTGATTTAATCACATTATTTAATCATTTTGATTTAATCATTGCCAACCCTGGAAATCGGTAACTTAATTCTTCGAAAATATACCGATAGTCGTATGAAAATTATTTAAAGAAAATGATCATTTAAATAATAAATTCGGTCGTACTTACACTTATCTGAAACGTACATAAAATTCTTGTTTTAATTACCGGAATGTGATCCAATTGCTGTAAAATAACAACTGGATATCTACATCTGATAACCCTTCACTGCACAAAATTTTACTTGGATAAATGGGATCTAGAATAGTGTTCTGAACCAGAAATAGTGAATAAATTACTATTAGTGAACTATTACTATTAGTGACTTAAAAAATAGTGAACTAAATTACTAAATTACTAGCTTAAGTAGGTATTGATAATCTGATTAATTCAATTCTCAAAACAATGAATGATTAGGTTACAGATTTTTTGTATCTCCGTTTTTATCAAATTAATTGGTAAAAGCCTGAGCCCTGGGTCAGGCTTTTACCTGGGTAAAATCAACCAACAAACCGCAGACACCTGCAGTTGGTGCAGAATGAAATGGGGTTAGTCAGCACTGAAGTCAGCACTCCCTCAGGGAGCAAACAATGGAGTACGTAATGACAAAGAAGACAGTTACATACTGGTATGTATACCATTTACCATACAACATAAATATAACTAACAAACAACAAGATAGATCATAATCAAAATGATGAGAATACTTATAATAGAATAAGCTTACCATTCAAATATTCTTGCAGCTCAATCACAGGAACATATTTGTTGAAGCTTTTCAAGTCTGCCCAGGCTGCAGGGGAAGCACTGCAGCTGTTGAACCAATGATATACGTTGTCCCATGGTGGCAGAACCTGTTCAGTAAAATTAAAATTAATTATACTAATTAAATATTGTTACTTTGTTAGACAGTATCATCATCAATAATCTAAAGTCAAGTACCTCTGAGATGTTAATAAATTTTTTATTAATATCTTATTTCCTATCATCTTTGCAATTATTATCATCATGATGAAAGCAAAACTGACTAAAAACTACCAATTCATTGAAGCTGAAAGAAAATGGTTGCAGAAATTTAAAGAATTGAAAGAACTCACTCATTTTTATATGGAGAATAAATGCAAACAATGCAAAGAGATGACTGGAAAAATATTATAATCTGCTAAAATTAATTCTACTTGATTATCATGCATGGCTCAACACTTGCCAAAATCCACTCCTCATTGAGTGTATCCTTGTCTTGGCATTAAGTGAGTGCACAAATGTAGCAAATCTAAGGTAGACATCCCGGCGCAAGTTGAAGCCCTCACCAATGTTGACTGAGTAGAGCAAGTATCTGAAATGTTGGATTGCATAAGAAGAAATAATATCATGGTAGTAGAGATATATTCTGATATTGATAAAGTTTGGGACAGAAAGGCATGTACTAATAATTATTTTTTATTGATTCATAAAATATTACTATAAAATTCCCAAATCATATATAGGTACGGTATGTGTCTTAGCAGAAGTTGGTATTCACCTACTTCACAATAGTAGCTTAAGTAGCTATAATGCCATGGATATTTGGGAAAAGAAGAATTTAATGATAACTCCCTTATCAATCCACATTGTTCCAAGATATTGTTAGCCAAATGAGGGCTCATTTTACATACACGCAGTATGAGAAATGGCATTACATATAATAAAAATATATTTTTCTATTCTATATTTTGATTGAACAAGAAGTACCAAAAAACTAGAGGAAAATGCTCATAATTTTACAATTTTATTTATAAAGAAAATTGATTTAGCAATCTCTTATTAATGAAGCAGCTTTATAAGTGAAAAGCTATGGTACAATATACAAGAAAAGTTTCAAGTAAATCTATTCACAAAATCCTAGTTATTGTCCTAGAAAAAGAAAGATGCTTGGCATTGTTCAACTAAGGTTGGAACATAACTTTGTGCATAGTGCATAACTTTCAGAAACAAAAATACTATATTTTTCTCTAGGCAAGAATTTATTGACACATGACAAAAAACAGCATTATATTGAATGAACTTGCTTTTTTTTCATAGGAGCAATGGTGTTGGAACCACATGTATCAGAGGTACCGTAGTTGCTGTACAGTATTCTTCTGTTAATGATTGGTCTTCAGTAAAAGCCTTGCAAAAGCTATGTGACAAAATAGCACATAAAAAAGTCACAAAAATATTTTTAAAAAATTTAAAATCCATACCATAAAATGGGGTAACTTTGACCACTTTTTTCAAAATGATGCCATTTTTTTTACTAGATAAGTTAAACTTAAATTGAAACATGCAAAATACAGGTCTATACTCTAGCTTTACTCACCATAAATTGCTGGCTCCTGCCTCTCATAGTTTTGATGTAATTCCAAAAAAAGTGGTCTTTGTTACCCCAGCTCTTGGGGTTTCTTTGACTGGGCGGTAAAATCGTAAAATAACTTCAAATAACTCCAGGTTGTGGTGCATTGTAGTAGAACTCTTCTAGTTACATATGCAAAAGACAAATTTTAGGAAAGTGTCATAGTTTGCAAATGGGGGGCGCCACCCCCCAATGGGCAAAATGTGACCACCTAATGGCAGCCGTGATGGGGTCACATTGACCGGTTTGAGACCGGTTTGGAAATTAAGTTAAAATTACCATATATAAGACTCTGTAGAGTCTGAAACATAAAGAAAAAACATTAATAGGTGTATCAAACATAAAATATGTTATATAGGTACCTATGGTAATTTTAACTTAATTTCCAAGCCTGTCAATGTTACCCCGTCACGGCTGCCATTAGGTGGTCAAAGTTACCCCATTGGGGGGCAGCATCCCCATTTGCAAACTATGACACTTACCAAAAATTTGTCTTTTGCATAGGTATGTAACTAGAAGAGTTCTACTACAATGCATCACAACCTGGAGTTATTTTACCAAAAAATAAAAAAAATTGGAGGGGGTACTCCAACAGGCTTTAAATAATAGCTCTTTTTCATGGGTCACATTATTAATTTTTTAACCTATTAGATATGCAAACTTTTTAAATCTTTCTATTGTGTTACGTAGCCTCAGTATTAGGCCTTTGATGACCATTGACAAAATTTTTCTATGTCAAATCATTTTTGAGTTTTGGGGGTTTTTGTTAAAAAAACAAAAAGTGGTCAAAGTTACCCAGCCGGTCAAAGTAGCCCCATTTTACGGTACCACTAGTTTCTGAATAATCTATAAAATAAAGAAACATAATATTTTTAATAATAACAATCTTAATCTTTTAATGATAATAATCTTACTAAATTTTCAATTTGTTTTAAATAATCACACTTGATGCCATTAACTTATAATGACAGATTTGCAGCAAAAGGCAAAGGACCATAAAAAGAATGAAATTGTCCAAAGGGCAAAATTTCAAAGAATTCTGGGTAAAAATGATTGTTTAGTGGGTGGGTTTGAAAAAGTGCAGGCAAAAAAGGTACCATTTTAAAAAAATGTTTTAGCAAAGTTTATTAGGCAAGGGCCATTGGAACAAGTTAAATTTTCCATTTGCATGGGCATTTTCCATCTTTTACTGCTGGCTTTTACTCATTTTTGAAATTCGGGTTTCTTTCACTGGTAGCTTCTGCTCAGTGCTCAATTTTCTAGTTTTGCTGTTGGCATGTAGCAGGTGTGGAATATATCTACATACCTTTCAACAGGCATTAAATAAATTTATACATACAGCAATCCCTTGATTAGCACGGTTTTGAATACCGCGGTTTTGATTAACGCAGAAAAAAATTTTGCGACCTACCCTTAATCTACGCGGTGCCAGTTTTGATTAGCGCGAGTTTTTTTTCACAACGCATCATTTTCCCGCCTCTAGCCAGAGGTGTTAATTTGAGGATTCATTATAATTATTCCCATATATTCTTAAGTTTGATTAGCGCGGTTTTGCTTAACACGGTAAAACTCGGGGATTTATTAACCGCGTTAATCAAGGGATTGCTGTATATCCAGTGGTGGGCACAGCTAACCTAAAAGTTAGCTTTGATAACGCTAAACCGATAAATCACCAAAAAAATGTAGCGGAATTTGCCGCTAATCACTAACCACTAACTTTTAATATACTATAAATTTAGATTTGGTTTAATATTTTTTTTTTGGGGGGGGGGGGAACTCTGAAAAACATGCCTAGAGAGCTGAGCTTTCACCCTTGAAAAGGAGCTTTCCAAAAAGATGTAGCATGCCAAGATCAGATGATGATCAAGATGTAGGTAACATAAATAATTAAATGAACAAATGAAATTAGGCAGTATTTGACATTCAACATACAGTTTATTAAACAAATAAGAAATAGTATTAAGGTAACACCAGGGTTAAACACTCCTTTTACTCTGGCTTGCCCATTGCCTTCATCTCCTTGAGGTGATGATTGTTGCCCTTCATGAACATTAGCCTCTCAAAGTTATTGTTGTGGGAAGCCCATTCAGTGATACTGCAATGAAGTAGGATTTCCTACTAGGAGTCCTGCAAACCCCTCTCTCCTGAGATGCAATGAAATGTGAAATTAAAGTATGAAATTAAAGCAAAAGTATGTATCAATTTCAGTGTTGACATCATAGTAGAGTGCTCACTATTTGATATGCATCACTAACTCAATCACGTAGAGTTAATGTAACTGATATTTTTATGGATTAGTGCTCTCCTTAGGTTTAACATGTTACCGTCAACCGGGGCAACTCGGGACTGGGGGGTAACTCGGGACAGTCCTCCGACACGGCCTAAAACTGTTTTAGTAGCAAAACTAATTGGTATATTGCAAAACTAAATATAGTGGCGTAAACTTCATCATTTTTCCTATCTATGTAGTATAAAGGAAGTAAAAAAATACTACATTTACTAGCTTTGAAGAATTCCTGAAAAAAATGATGAAAAACGCTATTTTGAAAAGTTACTTCTGCTAAGGTCTGTACCCTAAAATGGGGTAACTTAGACAACTTTTTTTTTATTAATAATGCCATTTTTTTACTAGCTAAATTAAACTTGAATTGAAACATACAAAACACAGGTCTATACTCAAGCTTCACTCGTCATAAATTGCTGGCTCCTGCCTCTCATAGTCTTTATGTAATTTCAAAAAAAGTGATTGTCTTTGTTACCCAAGCTCTTGGGGTATCTTAGACCGGGTGGTAAAATCAATTATATTTTTTGGTAAAATAACTCCAAATAACTCCAGGTTTTGGTGCATTGTAGTAGAACTCTTCTAGTTACATATGCAAATGACAAACTTGAGGAAAGTGTCATCATTTGCAAATGGGGGGCACCGCCCCATAATGAGGGAAATGTGACTACCTAATGGCAGCCCTGATGGGGTAATATTGACTGGCTTTGAAATTAAGTTGAAATTACCATATATAAGACTCTGTAGAGTCTGAAACATAAAGAAAAACAGAAATAGGATGTCAATATAAAATATGTTATATATGGTTATTTTATATTAACTTCCAAGCCGGTCTATGTTACCTCATCAGGGCTGACATTAGGTGGTCTAAGTTCCTCCATTTGGGGGCGGTGCCCCCCATTTGTAAACTATGACACTTTCCTAAAATTTGTCATTTGCATATGTAACTAGAAGAGTTCTACTACAATGCATCAAAACCTGGAGTTATTTAACCAAACAATAAAAAAATTGCAGGGGGTACTCTGACACACTTTAAATAATAGCTTTTTTTCATGGGTCACATTTTTAATTTTTTAACCTATAAGATATGCAAACTTTTAAAATCTTTCTATTGTGTTATGTAGCCTCAGTATTAGGCCTTTAATGCCCATTGACAAAATTTTTCTATGTCAAATAGTTTTTGAGTTTTGGGGGTTTTTGTTAAAAAAACAAAAAGTGGTCTAAGTTACCCCACTGCCCACCGGTCTAAGTTACCCCATTTTACAGTACTAGTAAAAAAAATATTTGCTGTTTTAAAAAATTTTACTTACATAAAAGTTGCACCCAGGTGTTGGCTTGGAAACTTTATTTGCAGAATTTACATACCTCAATCCCCCCAAAAATGGCAGCCATTTCCGCACGGCGGGGCTACTTGGGACACCCCCCCCCAGGGCTATTCGGGTCTCGGGACACCCCCAAAAACACATTTACAGTAGAACCTCAGTAAGCAAAGGCTCCAGTTAAAAAAAATTGATTAAAAACAAAGAATATTGATTACATTTACCTCACTCAGCAAAAAAAAAAATTAAACTTATGGAAAAATTAGTCATCATCGGTCATCACAAAATTGTGCATAGAATGTCATATATAGAAAATAATAGAATTGTGCACCAGGGCCCAGGCATCATAGAATGAAAAGTAATTGACTTAAACTATGATTTATTTCTGCATAACATATGATGGTTGTCAGTTGTCACTAAAACATTCCTTTCTGTTTCAGGTATGTTTTTCACAATCTTTTTTTATAGTAAATTCACTTAAACTGTCTTAACCCAATTAAAATGGTGTGAAATTACAAGCCGTCCTGTAAGCTTACAGATACAGAAAAAATACTATAGGGCTGCTGATATAAAGCTTGCAGTGGAGTACACTGGGCCACCAGTTTGATTCCACCCTTCAGTTCAGAATTGCATGGGACTGCCCTGTTTCCAGAGGAGACACTTTTCATTGTTATGATTGTTTATTGTGGCCCTATGAGCAACAAAAAAGTAACGAGAAAAAAAAGCTAATAAAGTAAAAGGCCCAAAGGGGGGCGGGAAATTTCAATATATTTGAGAAAATGATACTATACCAGATGGAATCCTAATGACCGAAATTTATATCAAAATACTTACTATGTGGTTCTAGCAAAAACGAAAATGATAGTCGATTGTTCAATGCTCATATACGCTCATATACACACGTCCGTAGTCGACCGAAGCTTAAACCGGAGTCAAACCAAAATGACATGGTTGTCATGACAACAGCATCTCTCACATGGATCCGCTCATGTGGATTTCGGCAGCGGTCAAATGTCATATCATAGAATAGAATAGAATTGAAGTGTCGGCGTTGAAGAAATAGGCCCATGGCCTGTTGCCGATTCTTGAACTTTTCGTGACTTGATTTACAAGGGATCCGGCCTTTGGAACCCGATCTTTCCATAGCTGACGATTGATTTGTAGCGGTCTCATTCAGGATTTTGAATTCGTGTAATAAAATATTTAGAAATTTAGAATTAGATTTAAATTGTAAGAATAAGATTTTCTTTATGAACGTCACCTCGATGAATACAACAGCCGTAGTTAACTTAATTCCAACTTTTAGTATTTAGATTTATTTCACCGGAACCTCATATTAGAGTGAGTACCAAGTGTTGCCTCTGTAATCGCATAGTAATTACTCTGTTAAATAGATGAACTGATTTATAATGATTATAATCTTTTTCTATGTACTTATATTTGTGTAACATGAAATTATCTGTTATTCATACAGGGTTCTATACCGAGAGCAAAAAGTGTCTTTATTTGTCCCCAAATCAACGTGAGACGCTTTAGATTGAGATAGCTGCTGGACTTATTGCCTGGTCCGTAATTTGCTAGGCATTTTAAGACTGAACATATGCTCCTGCATAGCTTCGTCTAGTCTGTTTTTGAAGATGTCCATACTAGGAGCGTCAACGATGCTATCAGGTAGGCTGTTCCACATGTCGGTGACTCGAAGCGAGAAGAAATGTTGTCGCATGGATGTGTTCCAACGCTGTTTCTTTAGTTTATAGCCGTGGCCCCTGGTGTTGGTTCTTGTATCAAATTCTAGTAATCCTTCTGAGACCTTGTATAAGTCAAGAGTATACTTGTATACTTCAATGAGGTCCCCACGCAGACGTCGATAACTGAGGCTTGGAAGCTTCAT